AAAAAAAAAAAAAAAAAAAGCATGGTACTTGGCCAGGCACTCTGGCACAAGCCTGTAATCCCAACAGCTGGGGAGGCTAAAGCAAGAGGATCGCAAATTCAAATTCAGCCTCAGCAACTAAGTGAGGCCCCACACGATTTAGTGAGACCCTGTGACAAAATAAAAAATAAAAAGGGATGGAGATGTAGCTCAGTGGTTAAGTACCTTTGGGTTCATTCCCTGGTACCTCTCCCCAAACAAACAAAACATGGTATTCAGTTGATCACAGTTTTAAAGAAAGTGAACATAGGGATAGGTCCCTAAAACATAAATTAACAATAGTTATCTTTGCAAGATAGAATTATGAGTGTTCCTAGGTTGATCCTGTCTTTTCTTTTACTCTCCTGTTTTTCTGCTTCCATATTTTCTAAGTTTTTTGCAATGAGACTTTGCTAATGAAACCTTGCTAAAAGAATACAGAAGTTGGAAGTTAATTATTACTATACTTGCTTGATGAACATAATTCTTTCAAAATAGGAGGAAAAATAATCCCGTATTTCCCCCCTATAGGAGGGAAAATAATCACGTAATGATAGGAATGTTGGGAGTCCCCACCAGGGTCCCAGGGCAAGTCCTTGAAGTGTGGGCAGTACTCACAGCCAGCTTCTCCTTGACCACACTGGCCGTGGCTGCGATGGTACAGGCTGTGTCATGTTGTACCACCTGAGTAAACTCTGTCAGGTCTCGCTTCATGAACTCCAAAGCTTCGGATGACTATGGGAGGACAGAGAAGGATGACAGAGCTGGCAGATTCTACCAGTCCTTGTTCCTATTACCTGTGCTTCTTCAGTACCAGACACATGGAAATCTCAAGTGATGTAAGAATCTGGGCTTGGAAACAATGCCCATTTGTCTAGTTCCATGACCTGGGATTACCTGGCAGCAGAGAGTGCAAGGTAATTCCTGCCACTCAGTACAGGGACTGAGCTACGTGGCAATAATTGAGTCTCACCTAGTCCTTGGTTTTCCCCTATACAATGAGGATGGACAGTAGACCAGGTCAGCAATTCACAAGAGCACAGTAGGGAAAGGGGACCTACCGAGTCTGAAAAAAGATTTCGATGAGTTGTTTTGATATGCTTTAAGTTATATGTGTTTCAAATTTCAAGTAACAAGAGACAGGTGGGTGATTTTTTTTAATCAAAGGAAGTAAGAGAAGATACTCTCTGAGGCCTCCTTGGCTGTACCATTCCACATGCATAAAGCTTTTAAAAAAAAAAAAAAAAGCTTTGGGCCTGATAACTTTTGTTTATTAAACAATCTGTTTCTTACCTTGCACTTGGAGCCAGCTTGAGAAAGCAGGCCTTCACCGCTTTCTACATTTTGCTTTTACCTTACTTGTGTCATACTCACTACCCTGGAACATCTCTGTGCTCACCCCACCCTACAAGCCCCCTCCTTTTACATGGGATCAATCACCTGTACTTTATAAAGCATGTTTTTTAGTGTTGTAGTGGTTAGTTTTTCTGGGAAGGGCCCACCAACTTTCATCAACCTGGGAAGTTTGTGAGTGGGGCAGTCTCATGCATGAGCTAGAGGCTTCTCTAGGGAACAGGAATCATGCCTCAGGATCAGACATCAGATTCCTTAATTGGGGGCAGAGGGTCATTTGTTTATCATGTGGTCTCAGTCTCAGAGTCAGAAAGGTTATTTATTACTTCACTCCATCTATCCACAGTGTCATCACCTTAGTTCAGATCATCCTACTCTTTTATGTGGACTCCTCTACTGCATTTTCCTTATGACACCCAGTGGGCACTTTATTGGTCAGGGCAGACCAAGGTGCTCCCTGCTTTACATTTTTCAATGTTTACACACCATCTTAAGAGTAATTATAAAATCTTTACCTTCATTTATGAGGCTTATAAATCCTAGTCTCTGGCAGACTCTCCTCCCCGACCCTGCAAAGCCCCCTCATTTTACACAGGATCAATCACCATTGCACACCCTTGCTGAACACCAATGGGCCTTCCTCAGATTTCTCAAATGTCCTAGCATTCTCCTTACCTCAAAAAGTATGAATACATTATTCCCTTCCCTGAAGCATAGTTCTAATTTTCCAGAGCAAACAAGTAAGCAAACAATGAATGAACTCTCTCACTTGGTTAGCTCTTTAAAAAAAAAAAAAAAAAAAACCTTTGTTTTATTTGTTTATTTTTATTTGGTGCTGAGGATCAAACCCAGAGCATCACACATGCGAGATAATCGTTCTACTGCTGAGCCACAACCCCAGCCCCAAACTGGTTAACTCTTATTCATCATTCAGATCTATGCTTCTATCTATCTATCTTCTATCTATCTATTCTATCTATGCTTCTATGCTACATCCCTAGAGAAGCTTCCCTGATTCCACTTTAGGTTCAGCTGGCTCCTCTGGCCTTACTTCTTTAAAATCTGCCATATTTTAGACTCCAGATTACTACTCAGTGTCTATCTTCCTAGATGAACTGTAAGTTCCACAAACACAAAGCCCAAGGTTTTATGTTCACTGATGCTTTCCTGATGTCTGACACAGAGCCTGGCATACAGAGGTACTCAAAAAATGTTGTTTGTTAAATGTATGTGCACTAGCGCAATTTAAATTATATAGTCACAGGTACAACTGTTTGATGTTGTCTTACCCACAAGATTGAACTCTGAGGGGACAGACATGAACAGACATGCTGCTTGGCCTCAAGAAAGTTACAGTCTATTGGGAAAATGCTCACTCCATAGGCTGATGTGCAATGGGAAAGCAGTAACCAGTATATTATAGAGAACTTGGGAAGATTTGGTAAAGGGAAGCCTGAAGTAGGCCATAGAAGGGCTGGGGTTGTGGCTCAGTGGCAGAGAGCTTGCCTAGCATATATGGGGCACTGAGTTCGATTCTCAGCACTGCATATAAATAAATACAATTTTAAAAATATTTTAAAAAATCATGGTTTAGGGCTGGGGTTGTGGCTCAGCAGTAGAGTGCTCCTAGCACAGGCGAGGCCCTGGGTTTGATCCTCAGCACCACATAAAAATAAATTAACTAATTAACAATATTGTATCCAACTACAACTAAAAAATAAATATTTTTTAAAAATAATGGTTAAAAAAAATAAATAGGAGCCGGATGTGGTGGTGCATGCCTATAATCTCAGTGGCTCACGAGGCTGAGGCAGGAGAATTATGAGTTCAAAGCCAGCCTCAGCAATTCAGCAAGGCCCTAAGGAACTCAGTAAGATCCTGTCTCGAAATAAAATACAAAAAGGGCTGGGGATGTGGCTTAGTGGTTACACACCTCTGGGTTCAATCTCTGGTTAAAAAAAAAGAATGACTAGGAGCCAGAAAGTCTGGATGTGGGGTTTACAGAAGCCTATAAACATTTTAGTCCTGATGAACATAAAATGTGAAGCAGAAACGGTGAGGAATAAAGCTGGAAAGGTTGCCAAGGACACCTATGAGTAGCTACCAAAAGTTTGAAGAGAATGAGACATGATATTTTTCTTTTTTTGGGGGAGGGGGGAGTCCCAGGGATTGAACTCAGGAGCATATGACCACTGAGCCACATCCCCAGCCCTATTTTGTATTTTATATAGGGACAGGGTCTCATTGAGTTGCTTAATGCCTCACTTTTGCTGAGGCTGGCTTTGAACCTGCAAAATCCTCCTGTCTCATCCTCCCCAGCTGCTGGGATTACAGGCATGAGCCACATGCCTGGCCTGATTTTTATTTTCAATAGGCCACTCTAGTGACTGGCATGGAGGACGGGTGCAAGAGTAAATAAGTTGGAAGAGGGAAGAACAGTCAGGAGGATGTTTACTGCAATCATCCAGTAAAGAAAAAATAAGAAAATGAATAAGGACAGTGCTGCTAAGGATGGAAAAGATAGGATTAATTCAAGAAATACTAAGCAAAAAAGGAAGATTTGGTGATTAAATAGATATGTTCAGTGAGGGCAGAAAAAGGACAGGGAAGAGTGACTAATACAAAAATAGATGACAATGTAGATGCAGTGCAGTTGGCTAAGTGAGAAAATATTAGAGGAGGAGCAAGTTTAGAGAAAAGATTGTAGAACTGACTTTGGGCATGTAGAATTTGAGGAGACCAAGGGATATCTGGAATAGTTGTGTAGCAGGAGCTAGCCTTGAACACTGAAGCTTGGGGAAAGAACTGGTAATCAACTTAACATAAAGGGATCACCTGGGAAGAGTTGGAGGAGTGAACAGAAGCAGTGTTCTGAGGATCTCAGAACAGAGGGGAACAGAGGAAGAGGAGCTCCTGAGCAGTTAGGAAAGGAAAGTCTAGAGAAGTATGTGGAGAACTGAGAATCACGTTGCAAAAGCCAAAAGAGCAAAGTTTCATGGAAAAGGGAGCGTTCACTAGTATCAAATGCAGCAGAAAGGTCCAGGAAGATAAGAGCTAAAAAACACCCACTGGATTTGGCAAGTAGTGGGTAAAGTTGAGTGTGGCTAGAGATAAATTTACCAGTGCTGGCTTCAGAAGTGGAGAGGGAACTGAGCAAGATCATGCTTGTTGACCTCAAAAAACAAAAAGCAGGGCTGGGGATGTGGCTCAAGCGGTAGCGCGTTCGCCTGGCATGCGTGCGGCCCGGGTTCGATCCTCAGCACCACATACCAACAAAGATGTTGTGCCTGCTGAGAACTAAAAAATAAATATTAAAAATATTCTCTCTCTCTCTCCCTCCTCTCTCACTCTCTCTTAAAAAAAATTAAAAAAAAAAAAAAAAAAAAAGCATGTGAGGTTGCCTTCTGGAAATGAAAAGACAAAGTGGTTGAACAAGGACTTAAAGGAAAAGTTTCTGAAGTCAACAGGAGGAGAAGAGAAACTGAGTGCTGGAGAGCACTCAGGCCCAGAGGTTGGGGAATTTGGTGAAGCCAAAGAGCAATGTGCCCTTCTCTAACTATATGTATACTCATGTGTGCACATATAAGAGCACACAGGACATAGCACAAAGTGTATCATCTCAGAAGTGTTGGCTCTGAGGCATGTATGCTAAGCAGCAGGGAAAAGAGTGTTTTGCTGGGGCCAGGTTGGGAAGCAAGGCCAGGAAAGCTCCAAAAACCAAAAAAAAAAAAAAAAAAGTAAGAAAAAATGGACTGGAGGTGGTCCCTAAAGTCCCCATCACTCTCAGTGCTTAATAAAAATAGTTAATGCTTATATAATACTGAATATGCTAGGCATTATTCTTAGTGCCTACAGACATTATCATTTAATCTTTATTATAATTCCACTAGGTAGGCATTATTATTTCCATTTTACTCTTGAGGAACTGAGGTCTAAAGAGGTTAAATAACTTGCCTAATACCTAAAGATGGAAATTTAAGTCTTCCCTTTCCAAAAAGGCAGAAATAGTGCTTTAATTACCAAAAACGAAGACGGAAGGCTGACCACACTGTGATTCCACTCTCTACCTATTTTTCATAAGTTAAGGTTTCCTTTGAAGGAAACATACAGGAGACCCTCTCGCAACACTTGCTGAATGTTTCTTCAGGAACTTGCTCAACAGGAAGTACACTACTTTAAGGTCTCTTAGATTAAATCTTAGAGTGAAATTCTCCCTCTTAATCCTCATCAACAAATAAACAACTCAGGGCTTTCTGAGATTTACCAGACTGCAGTTGAGAAGCTGTACAGGAGTACACAGGCCAAAGCAGGAAAACAAATGTACCCAAAGGAAGGGGCTAATTTAATTGAGATTAGAAGACTCATGGACTCTGCTGCCCCAAAGCAGGACTCACCTCAATTGCTTTAAATAGTAATTAGTTTTTCCACAATTCAGTTGGACTAACTTTAACAAGCTAACATGGAATAAAACAGGAATATCCAGTGGCATTGCCAGTGACAGGGACAAACATTGTTCATCCCAGAGGTATTATTCAGCAAGAAATTCAAGGTCCTCCATACACTCTGGCCACCCTTCTCTTTTTCTCTCTACCCTTCTTTGGAAATCTGTTTTAGAACTCCTCAGGTACATGCTTATCTCTGGCCTGGGTTCCTGCTTGTTATCCTGTCTAGTCAGGGTTGGCTTTGATATGGTTCCTTCCCCACCACACCTTCCCTAGTGTGTTCTAGAGAAGAATTAGATTAGACAGGTGCTCCGTACTTTCCTTTCACAGCACTTAACCAGAAGTAATTAAAACAGCTGTTTGATTACTTGGTTAATAATGCCTCCTCACCAGACTCTGAGCTTTGTGAGACCCAGGACTATATCTGTTTGGTTAAGGTGTGTGTCCTCAGGATCTGTCAGAGAGTGCTGGTTGTGGCATATACTCTAATATTTGGATGGCGATAAAAGTAAGTTTTTTCATTGCTAGGATTCTTTTTCTTCAAGGTCTATATCAAATGTTCTCTCTTCCACGAGCAAGCTGTTAATTTCCTAAGTTGGAATAAACTGCACCCTCCTACGGATTCCTAGGACAGGATCGCTCCAGCTTTAACACAATCGTCATTTTCACTGTGACTAGTATCACACTGGTTTGCATTAGGGCTGGTCCTTCCGTAGGCCGGTAGAGGCTGAAAGGCTGGGCCCAGGTCCACCTCTGGGAGGCCCAGGCCCAAAAGTCGGGCAGGGTTGGTTGGAACAGGTTGCAACGAGGCGGAGGGGATCCCGGCTTACCTTCTCTTTGACTGCCTGATAGCTCTGCTGCAGCCAGCTCCGCCACCACCCCACGTCCTCCCTGTGGAAGACAGACACATCTGGTGGTCCTGCGGTGAGACTCCTGCCCGCCCAGTGATCTCCGGTTTCCCCCTGCGATGTGGCCTGCGGACCCAGGCTTTGCAGGCCACTTCCCCACCCCTCACACCGCGACTCCTTTCAGCCTTTTCATCTCCGTCCACGCCCGCGCTGTTCTCCTCTTCCCCATCGGGACCCTGGCCCAGCACCCCAACCCTGAGACAATTCAGGCCCCAACGCCTGAGAGGAATGACGGGCTCACCCTTCCGCCATCTTGCCTGCATGACATCACCACTATTTACCGACCTTTGACTTCCGACACGGCACCGCCCCCTCAAGCGCCGCCCCGGAGCGCGCGACCCAATCCGCGCGTCGGCCCCGTCCTCAGCCTAATCCCCGCCCCGCTCCATCATTAGGCTCCGCCTCCCTGAGCTCTGTCCAGTTTCAGTCCGGAGTTTGCCTTTAAACTCCGCCTCTGATCTCTAGGCTCAATCCTTATTCAGACCCATCCTCAGGTCCCGCCCCCACAAACCTTAACTCTTTGTGGGTAGCCGCTGACATCCGATACGGTGGCCTCTGTGGGCCATGTTCGCCCGGCTTGCTGGACGTCGAATTGAGAGTAGACGGAAGGAAGGGAGGGGGCTGGCTCGAACGTCTGGATCCCAGAGCGCACGGCTAGGACCGCCCCCCTTTGTGAAACCAGCTGCGTAGCAGCTGCTGGCTGTCTCTTCGGGCTAATTCAACTCGCTCAGACTGCCAGGCTCTGGGCCAGAGTTTCGAGTGTGAAGGAAGCAGCCTGGGAGAGGCAGACACATATTTAATCATCACAACTTTTCGTTGCCCTGCTCAAAACAACATGAGCTGAATGTGATCAGGAGACTGCCACAAGGAAGGAGGTTGAATTCCATTGAGTTAGCAGGTTGGATGGGGTGGGGGAGTGCCCGGAGCTCCCACTGCCTCATCTACTACCTGCATTTGCACCCCCATACTTTGCCTTCCCTCCTGCAAGGCTGCACCTTTGCCTAGGTCAGCCCCTCCACTTGATCTCCTTGCTTCTTGTCCATCCTAATGATGGATCTCTAGTAATTCCCCCACTCTCCCTCACCCTGCCCACCTGTTCTTCTCTCTCTGAGATTATTCCTGTCATCATATATGTTATTATTAATTCCATCTTAAAAACTAGCCAGAAAAAAAACCAAAACAAACAAACAAAAACCTCTCTTAAGCCCACACGATTTACCTACTCCCCTTCACAGCAAAACTCTTGAATTGCCAATACTCACTCTCTCCTTTTTCTCTCTCTCATTGCACTCCTTTTAGTCGGGTTTTTGTCTCCCCTCAATCCACTGAAATAATTTATTGAGGGTCACAGAGCAATGGCCAATTTTCAATTCTCATCTTACTTGAACCATCAGCGTCTTACATGACACAGTTGACCACTTTCTTCTCTTCAAAGGCTTTCTTCAAGGCTGGGGATGTAACACAGTGGTAAAATCCTTGCCTGACAAACGGGAGACCCAGGGTTCCAACCCCAGCACCAACAAATAAAAAAGCTCTCTTCATTTGGATTCTGGAATGCCATGCCCTCCTGACTCCCTCCTACCTCTAGGGCATGTCCTTCTCAGTGTTCTTTACACTCTTGTTGCTGGCATGTTCCCAGAGCTCAGCCCTCTGCTTTTCCATGTTTGTAATCATTCCTCCAGGGATCTCATCAAGTCTTGTGATTTTAAATGTCATAAATTTGCTGGCAACTCTCAAATTTTTCTCCAATTCAAACATTTGTGAATACCAGGGTCATTGTGTCTATTTTGATGTATAATAGACATATTGAACTCAACATGTCCCCAAATTTCTGATGTAGCCCACTTAAATTTCCTGCAAACTTTACCACATCTGTAAGTAAATGGCAACCTTATTTCTTCTGTTGTTCAAGCCCCAAATCTGGGAGTTATCTATGATTACTCTCCTTTCATCCAAAACTAATCCCTCAGCAAATCCAGTTAGCTCTGTCTTTAAAAGAAAACCAGAATCTATTCACTTCTCAACACTTCCACAGCTACCTTGTAGATCCAAGCCATCATTACCTGTCACCTGCTTAACTGCAGGAAACTTTAACTGATATCTCTGCATCCACTTTTGCTTTTTTAAGTTTAGTTTTAGTTTTCCCTGAAAGTAATCTTTTTAAAAAACCTAAGTTGGAAAACAGTATGGCATTTCCTCAAAAAATTAAGCCTAGAATTACCATGTGATCCAGTGATTCCACTTCTGGATATATACCCCAAAGAACTAAAAGCAGAAACTTGAACAGATATTTATACAACCATGCTCGTAGTAGCATTACACACAATAGCTAAAAGATGGAAGCAATTTAAGTGTCTACTAATGGGGCTGGGGATGTGGCTCAAGTGGTAGCACGCTCACCTGGCATGCATGTGGCCTCAGCACCACATACAAAGATGTTATGTCTGCCAAAAACTAAAAAATAAATATTAAAAATTCTCTCTGTCTCTCTCTTTTAAAAAAAGTGTCTACTAATGGATGAATAAACAAAATGATAAACATACTTACAATGGAATATTATTCAACCTTATAATAATTCTGACACATGCTACAACATGGATCAACCTTGAAAACATTATGCTAACTGAAATAAGACAGTGATAAAAGAACAAATATTGAATCCCGGCCCGTGGTGCATGCCTGTAATCCCAGTGACTCAGGAAGCTGAGGCAGGAGGATCGCAAGTTCAAAGTTCAAAGCCAGCCTCAGCAAAAGTGAGGCACTAAGAAACTCAGTGAGACCTTATCTCTAAACAAAATAAAAAATAGGGTTGGAGCTGTGGCTCAGTCAAGTGCCCCTGAGTTCAATTTCCAGTGTGTGTATATATATATATACACACACATATCATATGATTCCATTTATAGGAGATACCTAAAGAAGTAAAATTCATACAGGCAGAAAGTAGAATGGTAGTTACCAAAACTGGGTACAGAAGGGAATAGGAAATCTGTATGTTTGTGTGTGTGTGTGTGTGTGTGTGCGTGCATGCTGGAGATGGAACCCAAAGCTTCCTGTGTGCTAGGCAAGTGTTCTGCCAATGATGTCCTCAACTTGGAAATACAAATTTTTGTTTAATGGGTATAGTATTTCAGTTTGGGAAGATGAACAAATTTGAGAGATGGATGATTGTGCTGGCTGCACAATAATGTGACTATATTTAATATGCTGAATTGTTCATTGGTTCAGTTCATGAACCATTTAAGCAAAAATGGGTAAAATTGTATTATATATACTTCATCACAAATAAGATATATATCTTATCCCAACCCTCCTCTGTTCTCCAATGTCTTCTTGTTTCACTCAGAGGAAAAGCCAGTAACTCTACAAATTCTCCTTGAAGGTTCTACATGTTGATATGACCTTGCACTGCTGGTTGCTGTACTCCAATCGCATTCACTACTTTGTTTTTCTTGAAAATTCCTGAATCTTCCTTGACTCAGGGCACTTGAATTTGCTATTCTTTCTGTTTAGAATGCTCTCACTGCAGATATCCATGTGCTTCTAAATTTACCTCTTACAAATCTTTATTCAAACATAATCTTTTTACCCATTCTTTCCACATTATTTAAAATCACAATTTGCAGTTGGGTGCTGTGGCTGTGTTTGTAATACCAGATACTTTGGAAACCAAGACAGGAGTATTGCAAGTTTGAGTATCAGCAACTTAAGTGAGACCTTGTCTCAAAAAATAAAAGGGTTGGGGATATGGCTCAGTGGTAGAGTGCCCCTGGGTTCAGTCCTCAGGACTGGAAAAAAATAATTGGCATCTTGAGCTCCCAGCACTCTCATCTCCCTTCTCTGCTCAATTTTTTTTCTTCATACCACTTATAACCATCCAGCATACCATATATTTTATTTTTTAAATTGCCTTCCTCCTTCTGACCAGATATGTGACCTTCATGAAGGCAAAATTTTTGCTTTGTTCACCTGTTTATTCCCAGCACCTAGAAGCGTCGGTATTTGTTGAGGGAATGAAAGAATAAGTACATGGATAGCAAGCACTTATTTGGTGCAATATAGAACAACTAATATGAAAAGGAAAAAGAGGAGATGGATGTGAGGCTGTAAAGGTCATTAACATCTGGACTCCAGAATCCCTTGTATTCAGGGCTTAATTATTACTATTTTTTGGAGGGGGTACTAGGGATTGAACTCAGGGGCAGTTGACCACTGAATCACATCCCCAGCCCTATTTTGTATTTTATTTAGAGTCAGGGTCTCACTGAGTTGCTTAGGGCCTTGCTTTTGATGAGGCTGGCTTTGAACTCATAATCTTCCTGCCTGAGCCTCCTGAGGAGTTGGGATTACAGATGTGCACCACGGTTCCTGGCTGTATTCAGGGACTTAAAATTCAAGGATGAAGGAGAGTCACCAAAGGTGTTTGTTGTCTGACACTGAGTTACACCCCCAGTCCTTCACCAAAGATTTTGAATCAGGAAATGACTTGTGCTGAGAAGATGTGATCAAATTGTCACATTTCACTATTGACAGATTTAATGGGCCATTTATTAAACAGGTGAGCATTTTAAACAGGATGACTTCTCGGTTGTTCTATGAGGTAGGAAATATTTTTTTCTTTTAATATTTTTTTTTTTAGTTGTAGGTGGACAAAATACCTTTGTTTTATATATTTATATGTGGTGCTGAGGATTGGACCCAGGGCCTCACACGTGCTAGGTGAGCACTCTACCACTGAGCCACAACCCCAACCAGAGGTAGGAACTGTTTTTTAATTTTCATTTTATAAATGAAGAACCTGAGATTCCAAGAAATGGAAAATAACAGAACTCTGCTTTATACCCGAGGCCACTAGTAAAACCAAGTCTTTGCACATCTCATGTTAGATCTTAACTTCTTTGAGCACGATGTCCCGACACCTCACCCAAATGATAAACTGCAGACAGTCCAGGACTACATCCTGTCCTTCACCATATGCACCCTACCTCATTCCTCCACCCTCAGGTCTAGCACAGTGCTCACCCATGAGCTCCTTAGTGCTGGTGGACTTTGTAAGACTCTCCTTGGAATTCTTTTTTTCTTCCTACTTTGTTCATCCCCATAACCCTGACTTGTGGCTCCCTCTCCCTTCATTGCAATAACTTCTGTAATCAAGTGGATCTCGATTCAAATCCCAGCTTAGCCACTTAGCAGCAATGTGACCTTGGGCAAGTTTTCCTCAGGCTTTAGTGTCTTCATCCTTAAAATGGGGATACTAATCCTGGTTCCTGTGAGGATTAAAGAAAATAATCAAAACACATCATATGGCATGAAGTCCTACATGTGGTATTCATTATTGTCTTAGCCCCTTACTCCTGTCCTCAGTGCCTAGAAAGTAGGCTCTGAGTTCAAGGGCTAATAAGCAGCTGTTGATTTAAACAGTATGTTGGAAGAACACTGGTCTGGAAGTCAGCAGGGCAGGGTTTTATTACTGGTTTATGGGCACTTCTCACTTTTTCTCTCTGCAACAATTCATTCACCATCCTTGGTTCCCTAAGATCTCTTGTAGTCCTTAGGCAAGGTATCAATGAGTGCAAATTCACCCATCCCTGACCCTCTGACTCTCCCTTGACCCAAATTCC